ATACAGGGCCCAGGGAGCTAGTAAATGCCTTACCTTCCCAGAGGCGTTAGCCTGGCACAGACACAGCCAGATCTCGTACCAGCTAGCACCTTCAGAGAAGCTGAATTGTGGCCTTGCTACCCCCAAAGCCACATAGCGAAGGGCGAAGGGCAGAATGGGCCTTCAGAAGTGGCCGGAGCTGGTTAGGACCTTCAGTATCTAGTCTGGCTCATCTCTGTCCACTGGAAGCTGTTCAGATACCGCAGGGGCTCGATGGCCTCTCAAGGAAGCCTGCTCCACATGTCGGAGCGGTGTGTCTAACTGAGTGTGAGGTCTACACTCCAAGAGCCAGGCAGAAGTCTTGAGTGTGTGGCCTTCGGGCTCAGAGGCGAAGTACTTGGATCAGCCTTGCTGATCCTCAGGGCTAGGCCTGGACACGTTGCAGCGTCTCCAAGAAGGGGTTGCAGGGCCTGACTCCCCTGCGTACACACAGCTAACGCATGGAAGGTGCACACATTCACACAGCTCGGCCGTTGCTTAAATATACCTCAGGGCACACCCTAGGATCAGCCTCCATGAGCACTGGCCCGTCACAGGGGTGGACAGAGCAGGAAGTTCTGGGTTCTTGCTATCTCTGGAGCTATTTCCTGCCTAAGTGGACCAACTGTGGACCACCAAGACCTTTCCCTGGGCTTGACCGGAACCACTCAGATCTGAGAGGCAGATGGCCCAAGAAGGTGCTCTACCTGACAGCCAAGTCCAGAGGAGAGAATGTTTCTTGCAGGACCTAGTTTTGTGGCCACCAGGGAAAGCTGAGTGGATCATGTTGGAGTCTGAAAACCAGATAGATTTCAGCATTCTTTAGAGCCTGGTGAGGCAGGTTTCAGGCACTCCTAAGCATGTGCGTGTGTGTGTGTGTGTGCGTGTGTGTGTGTGTGTGTGTGTATGTCGTGTCTGTGTCAGGTGCTCCTGAACCCTGGGGGGGTGTATGTCTCTGTGTCAGTATGTATGTCTGTGTGTTTGTGTGTGTATGTGTCTGTGTATATGTCTTTCTGAATGTCTGTGTGTATGCCTTTGTGTCTGTGTCAGGTACTCTTGAACCCTAGCTT